TATATCTACCTATATATCTACCATATTCCATTGGCCTTCGACAGCACACAACAACAGTTGGCCTTCATGGTGCCCCTTAAACTATGGTCTGAAACAGAAGCCTCTAGTGTTCCACTGGGGCTTGCAGATAGATGTGTTTTCAAAAAAGCCTCCTTAGAAACATTGGCATGTGTGGTCACAACTTGTTTATGGAATGTTTGTATCCTCTTTCAAATTAGTGTTGAAAATGAAAGTGATTTGCTGCAAGAATAGTAATTTTATTCTTCTTCTATTCTTATTCATGTAAAGATTTCATGTATTCTCGGGGGAGTAGGAGTTAACCAAACTCCATTCCTTTCTGCCCCACCTCGCTTCCCCTCTCAGTCTCTCGTTTCTTCAGCCTCTTATGGTCTTTGTAAGGCTGACAATTTGTATATTTTTCCTGGCTTGGCTTAAATTGAGAAGCTTGTTAAATTAATGTTTTTGTTCTCTTGAATGTGTTTTTTTGAGGTTCCAGGCTGAACTTTTACCGAACCTTTACCGTACCAGGGAAAGCTGAAAGATCTAGTTCCCATGAAACCACTGGTGTTAGCAGATGAAAGCGTTAGCTGAATTTGACATCCGCTTCCACTATCCCCTCCCCAGATATTTTATTTCGTTTTCTTTTATGGTCTGTGTGCTTCTAAGAAAAGAATTGAGGCAAATTAGAGGAGACATTTTGAAGCCATTCTCTTGGACACACCAAACAGCTCATAATTGTCAGAGGCTACTGTGCTGACTTTTTGGTGGGTGATATGTCATGAAATGTGTGCTTATCTCGAAACAGCAGGATTTTGGTGACCTGCAGTTAGCCCATGTGAGCGTATTCTGGCAAAGGGAATGCATCTCAAATTCCTTTCTATTGGGCTTCACTTTCTGGTAAATGGTTACAGATGTACAGCTTTAGACATACTGATTATATTCTCTTACATATCTCCCCACAACCCCCAAAATTGTGTGCTTCTCAATAAGCATTTACTAAACACTTGACATATTTATAGAATTTTAATGGTTGTCATGAGAGGGATAGAAAAAGACGGGGTTCTTTACTCTTGGCAGGCTTATAATCTAATGTTTAAAAAAAAACACAATGAATCTTTTAACTTACTTTGTAATGGTTTTGATTTCATTTAATATCATTAGATTGCTCTGCACTTATCTAAAATTGTCCTGAAAACTGTTGTCAAGGTGACCTTTGATTTTCCAGGGAATTTTTTTTTTTGGTTTTGTTTAGATTAGATCTTGTTTAAATAAGACCAACAACATAAATGTCCTAATAACCATTTTCCTTCTAATTGCTGCAACTGTATATTAACTTTAGCCATATGTAGACTATAATTATGCCTATGTAGCAACTGTATTCAGTCTGTGTATCCCAGTGCAAAAACGTATGGAAGCCATTCTAATCTTATGTCAATGATGCTTCTAGAAAAATGGTCAGAATTGTAGATTGTCAGACTACTGTGGTGCTGCAGAACAATGCCTAGACCAAAATGCCAGTTTGAACTGCCAAGTTGGCGCCTCAGACCCACCAGCTGCACCAGCTGCACCCCTATATAGAGTTGCTATGAGTTGGAACCGACTCGGTGGCACTTAACAACAACAACAACCTTTATACCATGGACTGCCGGAAGAACAAACAAATCTATATTAGAAAAAGTACAACCAGAATGCTCCTTAGAAGCCAGGATGGCCAGACTTCATCTCTCATACTTGGCACATATTACCAGACGGGACCAGTCCCTGGAGAAGGTTACCACGCTTGGTCAAGTGGAGGGTCAGCAAAAAAGAGGTAGATCTCCAATGAGATCACTGCACACTGGTAGCAGCAGTGGATTTAGTTTAACACTTGTGGGGATGGCATAGGACCAGACAGTATTTCGTTCTGTTGTGCATAGCATCGCTATGAGTCAGAACTGACTTGATAGCACCCAGCTACAGCAACAACAACAACAACAACCTTTATTCCCAGTTAATATCTATGGAAGATACTTTGTCTTTTGTTCTCATAATTATATGATCAAGCTGTAAAGTACCATAACTGGAAGCTAATGCTATGACTTTTTTTGGCTGTTTTTTCTTTTTTTGGACCATGTGGCTGATTTGGTTGTGATGTCCCCTTTCTGATGTGTACCTTTTAGATTCAAGAAAGCTTTGATCTCCTGCCAGGGTGGTGGTTGGTATTGTTAAATGCTGTCAAGCTGGTTCTGACTCATAGTGACCCTATATACCTGTATAGGTTTTCCAAGGCTGTACGTCTTTGCAGGAACAGAAAGCCTTATCTTTCTCCCTTTTGAATGGTTGGTGTGCTCAAACCTCTGACCTTGTAGTTTGCAGTCCAGTGCTTGCTTATCCTATAGGGTTAGCTGGCAAATTTGTCTTTAAAAAAAATATATTTTGGTATGTGAAATCTATTTTTACATTCTCAGGGGCATAGAACTGAGTAGAAGTAATTCTCTTCCAATCCATCCTCCCTGTATTTTTCTCTTTCAACATCCCTGCCCCAGCTCCTGAATGAGGAAGGGAAAGGCAGGCTGAGAAAGGTGGAGGTGGAAATGGCATATTCTTGATGCTGTTTTCTTCTGGGAAGCTCGTCATGACCATACCATCCATCTGCAGTTCAGTCTGTACTGGGGGAAGGACTAAGTTCTCTCAAAGACTCAAAACAATGCGCTTGATGGCCAGCCGGGAACCAAAGTATACAGTATACAGTGCAGACTCTAGTTTGCGTGCTTTGTTGTTTACCTTTGTGGTTTGGGGAAGATTTAGGCATTTTTTATATGAATTTTAAGTTGCTTTTATTCTAAAATGGAAATAAAAATAATTCTATTTTTATAACCTCACTTAACAACAGCAATATATTTAGGTTGTTTTAATCTCATGCTATCTTTACTTGGATAGTATCTCATATTTTAAATGTTATTAAAGTTTCCCCCCTGCTTTTAATGCATTTTTTATGATTGAATGAATAAAAAAAGATGCTTCTTTATGGAAAATATTGATTTCTGAATCCTTTTTTCTTTCTTACACCTATTTTAGCTATAATAGTCTTGCCTGATCACTGGACGATAGCGTCACCTTTAATTATTCTAGCGAGCCTATTGCAAGCCAGTAAAGGATAAGATCAAGAAGATTTTACAGATCAAGAATCATTTCTTATTTGGAAAGAGCTAGAAAGTGATTTGCAGCACATGTGTTCTGTGAAAGGCTGAGTCACTGCTTTTCTTTCTTTTAAAGGAGATTCTTCTTGGCAGACTTCAAATAAAAAGCAAAACAAAACATTGGTCTGTTTACTCACTGAGAAGAGCTGAGAAGGTTTCTCCATTAAGTGAAAATATACTATACCAGGGCTTTGAGCATTTTGAGAATTGGGGCAGGAAATTGAATTGCATGAAAGTGTGAGAACTTTTCTCCTAAGGCACGTTGAGTCATTTCTTGGCTTTATTAATATTGATAAGTGTAAGAAATGTAACCTCATTTATTCTAGTACTGACATTAGAGGGATTTGTTGTTATTTAAATAATGAAGCTTTACTTAGATATAATCTGTTTTATGAAAGTAGATAATAGAATTGTCGCCAAGGTAGTATTTCATCTAATGGTGTAATCTAACTGAGACTTCAATTGTGTTAACTTCACCAGTATGTCATGAGTATGCTGATTGTTCATAGTATGTCATGTCTTAGTGTTTTGGCATTTTAAATTTCAGTACAGTTGAATTACTTAGAATTGGTGTAGTGGGCAAGAAGAAATTTAGGTTTTATAATATAAACATAAAAAACACACACCCTTTTTATTCCCTTAGGAACATTGGGTAGTGTGGAACATGGGAACCAATATCTGATCAAGTTGATATATGAACATAATCTTCAGAGGACAGCCTGCAATATGACTTATGGATCATTTGGTGGTGTAAAAGGTAATTTGCATGGAATCATGAAAATGCTATTGTAGATTTAGAGCATTTAGCCATATGTAAACGGCTTATTATGTGGTACGAATCTCAAAGAGAGCTAGAGCTTTGTATCCAAGTACCCAAGCAAAATAAGAGTAAGAAAGAAAACTGTATATAGTGAATGTGGTCCCTAAATGAAGTGCAGCAGGCAGAAAGGGGCAGGCAAGAAGGCTGACTGGCAATCCGGAACCCAAGGAGGAAGCGGGAAGAGTGCTGAGGGAATTGCAAAATGTGTGTAAATCGTTGAATGGAAAACTAATTTGCACTGTAAACTTTCACCTTAACTGCAACAAAAAAGAAAATAGTAAATGTGTTTGATTTTCATATAACCAGCACTTTTTTTTAATATGGTTTAGGGAGATATTTCTAAGACTGCCTTTTCTACAGTTTTTATCTTTTATATATGAGTTGTTTTTTGAATTTTCTTATGGTGGAACTGTGTGTCTGCCTATCTCGGTAGAAGAAGGTCTTGACCTAGCTGGCAGGGAGTCTCTGGTATACCTGCTACAGGTAGGGTGAGGCTACAAATTGCTCTCTCTATACCACCGACTTTAAGGGCTATTCCATAGGGTTGTGCATATTGTTTTGGTATAAGCGTGCCTTAGTCGAGGAGGCAAGAAAGAACTAAAATTCAGTCTTGTTTCCACTTGTCAAACCATGACCCCTTGTCTGGGGTAGATTCATCCAGAGGAAGGGGATTCTTCTTGAATTTTACAAAGATGCCAGTTTTACCAAGGACTGGGTTAGTGAGGCTGGATATTTTCCTCCCTGATGGTGTATTTTTTAATTAGAACAAGTGCAACCTATAATCTACCCTAGTCCCTGAGCTTCCAGAATGACCAAGTTTTGATGGCTTAATGAAAGTATGGTTTGTTTGTTTTTTTATCAATAGCATCAGGACATCCCTGTGTATCACATGTCAAATAGTATCTTATATAAATTGAATTATACTCTTTGCTTTAGAAGATCATGGTAGCCCAATCAAAATAAAGAGATTCTTTGCTCTTGTGTGATATTTTTGTTAGAGTTTATAATGGACTTCTAAAGTAATGAGTGTGGCGCTATGGGCTAATGCGTCAGACTGCAAAGTCGTTTGAACTGCCAGGTCAGTGGTTCAAGCTCACCAGCTGCTCCTTGGAAACCCTATACAGGGTCGCTGTGGGTCGGAATCGACTTGATGGCACTTAACAACAACAAAGTAATGATAGTTGCTTAGAGTTTTGAAAGGAACAGATAATTCTGTTCTTATGTGATTGATACCTTTGAGGCTTATATTAAAAAAGTAACTTTTGGAAAAACATGAGCCCATTCTGACATGTTTTACTATCCTGTGGTTTAAGAAGAACATTTCAGAATTTGGAACAGAGAAAAAAAATACCTGAGTAACAGAAGAAGTCATTTTATTTCATGGACTAGAAACAATTATATAATGCCACTGAGGTAGCCACAAGAAAGCATGTAAAGTAGGGTGGTCTATCAGTGAAACTTTGCCACATTGTTGGGAGGGAATGCTAATGGGTACAAGGCTTATTTTGGGGATGATGAAATGTTCAAAAATTAGATTATGGTGATGGACGTACAACTTTGTAAATACGAGGGGGCTTTGAAACGTTGGTGGAAAATTTCTATTATTTTTTCATTCAATTTTCCATGAACTTTTTGAAGTTCCCTTGTATATGAAGAACTACTGAGTTGTATAGTTTAAAGGAGTAAACGTTATGGAACATTGTACCAGAGTAAAACTGAAAAACAGCCATGTGGTAAAACCTAATATCGGAGAAGCAGCAGTATAGTGTGTCCTATCAGCCTTTGCTATTGCTCATGGCCGGGCAAAATGCTGCCACACTGTCTAAGGCAGATTGACTCATGAGAGCCATGCAGTCCTCTTAGATGCTGGAATACGACTTATGAAAATGTACAGTAGGAAATGATCCAAAATATGTACCGGTCACATTGAGTTGCCATTTATTTATTTCCCTCTTCTTTCTGCCCTTTCTTCCTTCCTTCTATATGCACATATGACATATGTATTTATTTGTAAGGTAGAAAATTTAGAATGTGAGTGATAGAGAAAAATGAATACATTTTGATGCATTGATTCAGTGGATTTATTTTGAAACAATGGCTCCATTGGATAAGCATTGGACTGCGAACCACAAGGTCAGCTGTTTGAGTTCACTGACTACTCCGTGGGAGAAAGATGAAGCTTTCTGTTCCTGCAAAGATTTACAGCCTCTGAAACCCTATATAGTGTTGCTATGAGTTTGAACTGACTCTACAACACTAACAACAACAAACTAAAAAGTTTTGTTTGCTGAAATATGAGTATCACTGTACATAAACCTTTGTCCATGTTGCTGATACTCTCCTTAGGATAGAATCTAAGAGTGGAGTTTTTGAGTTAGAAGGTTGTATTTTTCCCCTATGTGAAAGTAGTCCCACCCCAGATGACAGTATATATAAAATTGTAAAAAGCACAGACTTTAGAAAGATGTAAAAGTCATCCCAAGATGTGCACATTTCTAAAGAAAGTCTGTTTTCTAAGCTCCTTGTCTGTTGTTGTTGTAAAGTGCTGTCAAGTCGGTTCCGACCCATAGCGACCCTCTATAGGGTTTCCAAGGAGCAACTGGTGAGCTTGGACCCCCGACCTCTCAGTTCAAATGATTTTGCAGTCTGAAGCATTAGCCCACAGCGCCAGTAGTGAGTATTTAAGGAGCCCTTCATTTTGGTTGAAAACGTCTCTACAGTTGATTTGAGTTTAAAAAAAGAAATCCGTGTCTTCTACCTTTCATTGTATGTTAGAATGCCTGTGTTTGGATTTATAAAGTTCAGTAATGATATCAGTAATTTTCAAGAAAGAAATTAAGCAAAAAAAAAAAAAAAAAAAGAATCTAGCACGATTTGTAACAAATGTGTTAAAAAAGCCTGAGGGACTGTGAGCGCTTTGTAAGTGCATTAGAACCAACTGCCACGAGATGGCAGTCCTGTACCACTTGGGGCTTGACCCTGCCTTTGAGTACCATACCTTAAGCGATCACAAAAGGAGGATTTTTTTTGACTGCAGATTAATTAGTGTTACCGACTGTGAACCACCAGGTCCTGGCAGTTCAAACTCAGCTAGCTGTTCATCGGAAACCTTTCTATAAGGTCACTATGAGTCGGAAACAACACACCCTTTTCTAAAAACAAATGTAACTTTTTCTCCATGTTGAATTTAGAACACTGCCTGGTGCAGAATAAGCACTAAATAAACAGCAAAGTAACAGATTTGTGCGCAAGCCTGTGTTTAGTCGGCGGCGGGCAATGTTTGAAGCGCTTTACAAGCTGAATTACCTGCGGAAGACAGACTTCGTGTGAAATGGGTGCAAGAGGGATTCTGTCCCAGGTACTCTGCTTCCAGAAGCTTGTGTTGCTAACTACACTCAACTGTCTCCTTGTCTGGGTTATGAGTAAATTTGCCTTCTTTCTTATTCATTCCATTTAATTTTCTGATAAGAAAGAAAAGTTTCCTTTCCGAATAGGGTGTACTATAGTTTGACTAAAGTTAGTGCATAGTTTTGATTCTTCACAAACTGGAAAACATGTTGAGTAACTCCTGGGTCATATTTGCCTTCTCGATTTCAGTTTTTTGGCTAGTGCTTGGCTTATAAGAAAAGTCCCAATCACTGCCCACACCCTACCCCCGGCCCAAATTTTTCAAAACTGTGTAGCAGGGCAATATAATATCTGAAACCCACCAAACAGTTGTGTGTGTGAGTTTTTTTTTTTTTTTTAACTGTTAAGAAAAACACTTCAAAAACATCTTAAGCTCAGTAAAGTTTGATCTTATTTCAAGTTACAGGCAGGTTACTATTAAGGAGAAAGAAGTGATAAAGAAACAGGAAATCTGGTTTTATAGACTAGTTGAAGAATATTTGCCCAATATATTTCATTATTCAGACTACTACCTACCATTCTAGAATTTAAATGATCATTTTTTTCCTATCATACTTTTTAGGGGAAGTGACTGTAATATTAATGACTATAATGGATTTCCATTTTGGCAGAGAGTGTAGGGAGATATTTATAAATGATTTGTAGTGTCTTTGATTTAAATTTCATCTGCTTTTTTGAAGGGACACTCTCAACTCTGGGTTTTTATAAAAATGTTAGTCTGTTTTTGCTTTGAGTTATAGTGTTGGAGAAGAATGTTAATAGTACCATGACTGCCAGAAAAACAAACAAATCTGTGTTGGAAGAAGTACAGCCAGAATGCTCCTTAAAGCCAGTATGGTGAGATTTCATCTCTCATACTTGGAAGATGTTATCAGGAGGGATCAGTCCCTGGAGAAGAACATCATGCTTGGTTTAGTGGAGGGTCAGTGAGGAAGAGGAAGACCCCCCAATGAGTTGGACTGGCACAGTAGTAACAACAATGGGCTCAAGTGTAACACTTGTGAGGATGGCACAGAGCTAGGCAGTGTTTTGTTCAGTTATGCAGAGAGTCGCTGTGAGTTGGAGCCCACTTGCCAGCACCTAACAAATGTTTGTTTTCTGTTGCTATGAAATGCAGTCCAATCAACCCCAACTCATGGGGACCTTATATGTTGCTGTTGTTGTTATGTGCCGTGGAGCCGGTTCCGACTCATAGCGACTCTGTACAGGGTTTCCGAGGCTGTAAATCTTTACGGGAGCAGAAAGTCTCATCTTTCTCCCGCGAAACAGCTGGTAGTTTCGAACTGCTGATCCTGAGGTTTGCAGCCTGGGAGCTTATATATGATTGGATAAAATGCTGCTGGGTTCAGCACCATGTCTGTGGTCAGTTGTAGATGGGACCTTGTTTTCTATGTTGTTGCTGTTGTTATTAAGTGCCGTCAAGTCAGTTCTGACTCATAGAGACCCTGGACAGGGTTTCCGAGGAGCAGCTTGTGGATATGAACTGCTGTCCTTGTGGTTCTCAGCCCAGTGCTGATCCTACAGTGCCA